TTGTGTCAGACTAACTTACCAAATAATGACATTCCGGCGTAATCTTAGCGTGTCATCTCGGCCCGAAGATGGCTTCTCTTGGCCAGTACATGGGTTTTGCACTGCTACTTATTTTGCATAATCAAAGTGCGGCACGTGGGCATGGTTTGTACAWTTTGTTTAACCTTCAATACAATTTCTTAACATTATCTGCAAATAGAATAATACGTTGCTGGAAAGAACAGCTTGCAGCAAAAACGTTTCCAATATAATTACTCAGTAAAATGTTTACCAAATGAATATTTCAAGCATAAAACCTCTTTTTTTTGAAGACCCAAGTAAAATTGTCAGTAATGTTTCCAATTATGATTTTTTTCTTATTTTTTGAGTGAGTGAAGATTTCTAATAAGATATGATTATTACATTTTAGATCATTAAATCAGCAAAATAMCAAAAGAATATTACAGCAGATTGTTACTTCGATTCTACAGGACAAAATAACAATTGAACCAGCCAAATCAAATCTCAAAACTCAGGCAAATCCATGCGACGTTCTCCACTAATTTCCATTACGTCTTTCACTTCTTGAAAGCGATTTTGAATAGTTTGTTTAATTATTTATTGACAAGTATATCACTTTAATGAAAACGGCTTTTAGCTAATGTTATAGTGAACATTGGTTGGTACCTGTATTATAATATAACATTCCATCTTCTCGGTACCTTTCGTAATGATCGTAATGACTCTCATTGATTCAGAACTTAAGCACTTCCACGCGCGTAGTCCTGGAACTTGATTTTGAAGTACTGGACCGATAATTGGCAAATACAACGTTCACACGGTCTCAAGCTCACTTGACCATAGAAAACTTGAGTTATATGCACGTTCTTCGTTTTTTTGCACGTTTTTCGTTTTTTTGCACGTTCTTCGTTTTTTTGGGGGGAGCAAGGATGGCCGAGCGGTTTAAGCGCCGGGCCACAAGTTTATTAGTCTAGAGACTATTTCGTGCTACCCTCTCAAAATAAAAGACTTTATTTATTTATTTATTTATTTAGTATTTTTAATTAGCACTAATCTGTGAGTTTAATTCTACATTGATAAATCTTCCTAACCATCTTTCTTGAGTTAGCAACTATAGGGACCATTCAAGATTAATATAGGTTATCCACTAAACAAATAGACCTCTGAACCTTTACGTCATTACTTGCTTTTCAATGCATTGTGGGATCAGGTTCTAGAGAAAACAAAAGAAATCTGCTTATTTCTGTTCCAAACATATMCTACWATGCATTGCGTATACTGTACATGACGTAAAAGCTAGTGATCTATTCTCATACAGTTGACAAAAAYTATACAAAATATATGGATTCTTAGAATAAATTACCTTTCTTTGTCTTTAAAGGAAAAAGAGTAAAAATAAACGGGGAAGATTCCAACTTCAAAGAATCCAAATTGMAAGAATCCAGCTTGAAAGTAAATGAAAGAACAAATGCTATAGCGAACGRGGTACCAGGAGGAAGCGACACGGACAAGGGTCACGGAAAAGRGTCTACTTTACTTTCCGGATCTACTTGGTCTAAGGCATCTAATGGAGTTGCTGGATCTACTGGATTAAAACCTGGATCTACGCCTGGATTTGGTGAGCTTTCAAAACTTGTCGGTACTTCAGGAAAGGTGCTGGACGATGATATTTCACAAATTTATGAAAAGATCGTGCATCCCAAGTTTCCAAAACGTATGTATGAATACAACCCAATATAAGAAATCTCTAGTTTTGGAATACACTCTACATTGTTTTAACGTATTTTAACGTGTGTCTTTTGTGGACATAGTTAATAGCCGTTATTTGTCAATATTATTTGATCACTAGTCTTCATTATCTTTTACCACCATTAATTATTCATTATAAATTTACTATTGATCAACAGAATATCCCTGTTCATCGCCAGCATCAAACAAGTGCAAGAAATGTACGTCTACAGCGGCCTGTCCATGTCCTGCTCCAGCGCCTACCCCGTGTACTGTTTCATCGTCCAGCCCGTGTCCTGCTCCAGCGCCTTCCCCGTGTCCCTCTACGGAGCCCTGTCCATGTCCTTCACCTTGTCCTCCACCCTGTCTTCCACCCTGTCCTCCACCCTGTCCTCCACCCTGTCCGCCACCACCGTGTCTTCCTCCTCCTGATCCTCCAACAACAGTTCCTACGACAAAACCTACAACTGATCCTACGACAGCTGGAACTACTCCTACTCCTACAAAACCTACACCAGATCCTACACCTCCACCTGTCGAGTCACCCTATCCATGTCCATGCCCTTGTCCTTGCCCATGTCCTTGTCCTTGTCCAGCACCATGTCCTTGTCCTGCACCATGTCCCTCGCCAACTCCATCTCCTAGTCCAGCACCTTGYCCGGTACCTTCTMCATGTTCTCCATGTTGTACTCCATGTCCAACCCCATCTCCCTCACCCTCGCCTTCTCCTTCAAATCCTTCCCCGTCGCCATGTCCGTCTCCTTCACCATCTCCATCATCTTCAAACCCTTTTCCAAAACCTTGCAATTGTCTGTCTCCTTCAACTTCCCGGTCTCCTTGTCCTTSTCCATCCCCATCTCCAACACCTAATCCTTCTCCAGCACTAAATCCATGTCCTTGTCCATGTCCTGCACCATCTCCGCMCCCTAATCCTTCCCCCTATCCATCTCCGTCTCCTAATCCATCTCCGACACCTTATCCATGTCCTTGTCCGTGTCCTTCACCATTACCATCACCATCTCCGTCCCCCAATCCTTCTCCCTATCCATCTCCGTCTCCTAATCCATCTCCAACACATTATCCATGCCCATGCCCATGTCCTTCACCATCTCCTTCCTATTCTCCAACTCATCGTCCATCCTATTCTCCATTTCTTCCTGCAAGGCTAGCTTCATCTCGTAATCGAGATCCTTCCCAGTCTCCATACATATATCTGGATGGCACTCCGAAAGAGTATCACTGGAAAACAATMTTGAATTGAACTTGAGCATGGTGTGGGATGAATAAGTTACCATGATCTGTCTCCAGGGTCGTGCACCAACTCAGTATCTATTGCAAAGCTATAGCTGTTAGGATGACTCTAAATAAAACCAAATCTAATTAAACATTATGTAAATTAGTGTGTGAGTGATTTTGTTTTGCACTTCTGAAATACGAGCAACAAACTCAACAACAGCAGCAGGAAATGGAACTCTTTCCATCTATTTTGAGCAGAAATTGAGCCAGAACTTTTCTAAGAGTCGGCAATTGTATTGATGGCTAAAAGTCTTGCTCTAAGTTCAAATCGCTCTCTCAAGTTTACTTTGTAAACTCAGCATGTCTTTTATACTCGGCATGGCTTTTGGCATGAAGATTTTCTGATTCACTGCAAATCATCAAGCGTGTCATCAGCCTTTTCGATACTTTTGACRAAAAAGGCACCTAAGAAAAARCAAAAATAGACTGACTATAAATGAATGGTTTAGTACTTTTTGACATTCCGTATKGATTTTGAGACTGAGTTTGTAAGTATTCTGACAGACCTGAGCATAATAATGAGTTTAGCGAAAGTACGCCGCTCAAGCCTGATTCTGCTTTTATTCAAAGCCCCCATAGTATATGAAAGATAAATATCCTGCTACATCGGCCTTTCCTTTACTCAAAATGTAGTTTTATGTATGCCATTGTTCGCTTTCACTTATACAAGATATGTAGTTACTGGATATTTTTGAACAGTCATAGCTTTTCTAAATTATGTCGTTTAATAGTGAACAAGTGTTCGCTTCGTCTACGCTTTGTGCAATCACACATGGGAAAATACATAGTTAAAAGTTGAATATTTCATTCAAAGGTGATCTATTTTGATTGCATTAAAATCCATGATGTAATGAACARGCTCCACGCTAATTATAAAATGTTCACGCTAAAAGTAAATATAAGTAACTTAATTAATTAAAACAAAATTTTAAATCTGTTCTAAAAAMAATTACAAGTACAAGTACATATGAAGCATCTATAGTAAAAATTCAAAGTTTGTCATAGAGAGAAATTTTGATTCAAAAGATGGAAGAACAAAAGGGTGGAGTAAATGACGTCATCTCCTCCAACATTTTTTGCCCAAATTATTAAGGATTTGTATCAATATCTTCTTATAATCTGTTGCTTCATGATTACTAGACCCATATGGATAGGTCTATTTGATTTCTAAGTATTTTCTAATGTTTTTCAATTTTCGTCCAAGCAGCCATTTAATGGATACACCAATGTTTTTTAAGTTATCGGCAGAGTACGATGTTAATCCATGGTCGTTACGTCATTCAGGAAGATTCTAATTGGATAATTGGTTACAGCCAATCAKATTTGMCTTTTGGCCCCTTTTAACCTTTAGATCTAAAGGATCTCATGAGACGGTGAAGTAACTTTGTGTAAAGATGGGTTCGCTAGGTATATTGCCACGATGTCTGCTTTTATTCGTTGTAGTTATTATAAACGCAAAGCCAGGTTTGTGACTAATCGTACCTTTTATTTATTTCTTTTCTTTCCTTAGTTCGTGTTTTTCTGCTTTTTTTGCGCTGATTTTCCACAATCAGGAGCTAATTCACGTAAACTTCGCAATATAATTTGTATTGAAAACTTTTTCCATAATTGAACAAATAAGGTGATCCTCATAAGGCATATCGTATGTTGATTTATTCGAAACAAACCAGCAATGAAATCAAATTGCATTTCACTTTTTAAATGCAACATAGTTAATACATGGCTTCCCTCCCACAAATTTTCATTGAATTTTGTTATTTTATCATTTTTACTTATTTTCAAGAAAACCTCTCGATAAGGTAAATTGAATTGCTAATGTCACATTCTTCATTATACTTGTACACTAACTATTAATTGAAGAGCTTTTACCGTTAATAGCATACAGGTATGTGACGGTACCAGCCGAAGGCTGTCATTCTACAACTTTTATAAATGAATTATCAAATAGTAATTAAAAGATTTCTTTAAAATATGAATCGGTTCAAAACCTGCCATGTCAGATAAAAATGTTCATCCAGTTGTCGGTTTTGCGGGAATGCTATAATGGAAAAGTTGTGGTAATTTGCGAGAATTTTGTAGATCCGGGGATCGATGTTTTTTTGTTTTTTTTTTTCACCATTTAACTCACTTTGATCGCGATTCTCCATTATCAAGGAAAGTTTACTAGGATATTCAATCAATAGAAGCTCGCTAGAAATGCCTTGATATTGTTCAAAGGAAAGGACTAAGTTAACTTTCAGCTATGGATAGGATAGGGATTAAGGATAGTGATAATCATATCGCTGTTTTGAATTTCGTTTCACAGTTTCTTGAATAGTCTTTGGTAATTGCGAGTGTCCGCTAACTACTCATGTTTTAAACTATTCAGAATTTATTGTATCAAACTTGAAACTTGATATGGATGACGAAATTTCTTAACTTAAAGTGCTTTTTATTTTCATTCTTGTCCAAGGCTTCTTCCAAGATACTCGCGAAGAAGAAATTGATAAATTTTATGAACAACATCATATGGTATTTGTTGGTGCCTCAGACACTAAGAAGCACGAACAACAAACACTTGGAGAGTTTAAAGCTATCAACGGAATTCTCTACCGGTCAGAAAGGCAAAGGCAAATGCGTTACTTCGCAGAATTTATTACCTTTGGGCTCATGGGAAGTCGAGCAGACATTGAAGAAAAGAAATCATTCCAGGTAAGAAGCCGATTGAAATTCTTAATCTATCATTAATTATCATTAATATATTGATTGTAAGAATAATAGACTCTGATAAATGTTTTGTATTATAATGTGTATTATATATTTGTTTTCTGAAGTGTTTTTTGAAGTCAGTTTCTTTCTATTTGTTAGAGGTATGCCAGCCATATAGTTTATGATCGTCCTGGCTCAATCTCACTTCACATTTAGTTACTAAAACGTTACATTCTACCACTGCTTTCTCTTGACAGGCCAGCCCTACACCTGCACCGGAAGTAGCTGCACCGGAAGCACCTGCACCGGAACTCACAAAGAATCTCGAGGCCGCTCTTGCTCTTGCGAAACGAAAGTTTGTGGAGARAAAAACAACAAGAATAAGAACTCTCATCTTGTTCACCAATTACATTAACACTCCTGAAGATGTTTATGGTTTGTGTTCTTCATATTTACTATATACAGAAACATTAGAGTCGCTTAACATTAGTATTATCGGGTTATATTCTTTAATGCTTGGTTTTAATATTGTGCAAAAGAGATTCTATTCACATTCTATTGTTGATTAAATGACTATACTATCAATTCTTTTTCATTTATCTCATATTTCTCTGTGTTAAGAAACTCTAAGCAATCATATTAGTTTAACCACAATTTATGTTACATATCAATCGCGTGGATCTCCATACAATCATCCCTTTTTTTCCCTGCTTTAGTTCTAAGCCATGTACTTCCTATGACTGAAGACCTGAAAAAGAACGATTTTGTCCACATCATGGTTGTACCAATGTCTAGAAAAGCGCACTTCAAAGAACTGAGGGCTGTTGCTTCGTCCAAGGAAGATGTACTGACAACTAGTGACGCGGCCACAGTTGTCGCGAGAATACAAAATTCTGCGGAAAAGGCGGTCCCGAAACGTATGTGTTTCAAAAGTGTCTGATAACACATCTTTAAAAGTGCAGTGAAAACTGTATATTGCTATGCGATGTACAGTATTACGAGATCTTTATGAGGATTTAGAATATCAAGCCGTAGACGAGTGGTTCCAGACGTCATCCACTGTGATTACGTATATTTCATATCAAAGTCATTGAAACATCTCGATGATAGCAGTTCTTTTCTGGAAACGTTATTAATTTCTACTTAGGCTATTGTTATGCTTTTTATCAGCATCAATACCAACAAAAATACTGCCATATCCTTGTCCAGCACCATCGGCAACTTGTCCACCAGATGAGAAACCTTGTAAGCCAACTTATCCATGCCCAAGGCCTTGCCCACCGTGTCAAAATCCACCTTGTTCACCATGTCCAGCACCTTGCCCGTGTACAAGGCCACCATGTCCAAATGTCCAGCCTTGTAGACCAAAACCAGGTAATTGCATTAATGATTTATTTATTTATTGGTGTTCTAACCCATTTAATGCCATAATAATTACATAAATTTCTATTCATTTCTAATATACACTGAAATACATAGTTTAATAAATCATTCTTTGGTTTTCCAGGAATATGTCCAAAAGCACCATACATGAAAGTCGGTTGTTATAAACTTCCTGAGGACAAGCACTACAACATAATTTGGATAACACCCGGCGTGGCTCCCAAGCATATGCCAAACTGGGAGAARTACTTAAGCACTTTRGTGTGTCAGTGTTCTAAATCGGCAAAAAGGAGAGGGCTCACYTATTTTGGAGTGAAGTATTTCAAGCCAAAAGGAGGATTGTTCTATAGGGGTAAGTGCTGATCGTAAGCTATCAGTAATCGGCATGGCTGTGTAAGAATTCGTATAAAAAATCGTTTTCTAAAAGTCAACAAATTATTTAAACTGTGTTTTGCCGGGTCATCATATGCTGCCGGTTCCATGATCACTGCTTTCTCTCTTTGTACATCGTKGTTGTAGCACATTTTTCAAATCAGCCTTGTAGTCCAGTTTCAATTTTTCCTCACCAGTATCATGATTAATTGAGATTGYTTTTCCAGGTGCTTGTTTTACCACTTCTACGGAAAACGTAAACAAGTATACACACTTGCTAAGGGCCGCCTACAGAGGATGTATTGACTCTACTACAGGAGTTTGTAATCTTAAAGACAGAAAAGATTGTATTGGGAAAAGCAACACAATCTTCGGGTACAGACGTACAGGTATTGGCCGACACGTTTCATTGTTGCAAGATTTCCAATATGTGTTTAATCTAAGCAAACGGAAAGTCTTAAAAGTAAAGCATTCAACATTATCTGTTATCAGCACCATGATGATTGCAAATAGGTGAATTATATATGGTATTCGAAGCTTCTCATGCTTGTCTTTGCTTAGCATTAATCACATGAATGAAGACGCGGTCTACATGGCCTCTTGGACAGGCAAATAACTTGTCTTGTCCATCATCACAATTCCATTGTCATCGTGGGATCATAATCATTCGTTAATTTTTCTACTGAAATGCCAGTGTTCCTTAAAATGACAAGTTGAAATATTTTTCAAATATAATTGATAAGATTTTGGGCTCTATGCATTTCTGAAGCTTGGTCGATATTAACTTTATCTTTCATCGTAGATGACAACGAAGAAGTTGAAGAAGAACCCGAGGATCCTGCAGAGATGGATGAACAGCAGGAAGTTACAGACGGGGGTGATTCTGAAGGCAGTGATGACAACGTCGGAAWGAATAATGGCACTATTGCCACAGTTACGACAGGCAATGCTTACAACGCTAGTGTAGTACTATGATGGCAAAATAATTAACAACGTCCTTAGAAATATAATAAATGATAAACCTCTGATAATCCATAAGTTTGTTATGTGATGTTTTCGAAATAAAAGACCCTTCCCCATAAGGATCAGTAAATCGGATCAAAAATCAAAACTGGAAAAAGGAAAAGACTGGGCCGGATTGTTCAAAGCCTGATTAGCGTTAATCCAGGACTAACTTCAACGGTTTTATAAAAGTACACCCAGCAGGTTTAGAGCTAATATTCGAGCTTTGAACAAACCGTTAATGATTAGTAATGATGACGAAGCAATGTCAGAGCTTAACACTATGCAAGAGACAATGAGAAAGAACTCATAGCAACGCATAGCAATGATACTGTTTCTCTTCCGTCTTAAAATTCGATGGTTTCCTCTTTTGAACTTGACAACGTTGTTAAGGCTCATCCCAGTTMATTGCATGAAAAAGTGAATGATTACATGGATGAATATGGCATTTCACCTGGAGAAATTATGCCATGGTTTCAAGAATTATGATGATATTATTGCTGAATAATATTTTCTTTCTCCTTTTAATTGAAAGAATGACTTGATATGATGAAATTAAAATAGACAATAGCTGAACACGTATGAGAAACTTAGAACTAGTACTCCTCACTCTAATTATAGGGTGGGTAGTCCTGATTCCCATAGCAAGAGTACTGACCACACCACTACTATTACATTCCTCATCGCTAACAATGTGAGGTGTAGGGAGACTTAAGCTCCGGATTTGCGTCGTTTCGGAGAAGAAGAGACATGGCAGAGACGAATTATAAAGTGCCTTGCATAAGGACAGAACGTGATCTTCTTGTCTGGAAATCGAACCCATGCCCTTAGGACCATGTTTAACCTTTTTGAAATGAGTGCGTAACTTGACATTTTTTTTCAAATACTGGAACAATATGAATGACGTGMTGACTAAAACCGTTGTTTACGTCACTATAGAAGGATGCTAATTGGGCGATGATTACAGCCAATTAGATTTATCTTTTGGCAACCTTTTAACCTTCTGACCTAAAGATCTCAGAAGACGGTGCGATAGCTTTGTTTAAAGATGGCTTCCCTTCGTATATTGCTATTTACGGTCTTCGTTATTATCAATGCAAAGCCAGGTTTGTGAAATATCTTTTCTTCGATTTTAGCTTTCTTCCCTCCTTCCAATTATCCTTTTCCTCAACTTTTTGTTTAGTTTTTCCTCGAGCACATGCTCTGATCTCCGACGAACCACATCAGCTATGCGGGCTTCCAGTTCTCTGACAAATAGACTCGTTTTATGAATTATTTCAGATTCTTTTATATTTGAGAACCAAATTTGATTTATTTTAATTTTTTCTCTCTTAACAACAACATTCTTAATCAGGTGGTTTAACTGTTAATTTTCTATTCTTCATTAAGTTATTTAAAGAGCTTTTAGGCGTTAACAACATACCTGTACTGTATGTAATGGCACCAGTAGAAGGCTTTTAGCCATTTTACAGTTTTATCGAAATAATTGCATCGAAATGAATTTAGAATTATTTTATTTCATGGACAAAATAATGTTTGCGCTGTGCACAACAGCAATGATTATTACTCTAGTTTTTTTGTAAAGTAGTGCTCAGGAGAAGTCTGCTTCAAGGATCATGTAAAAGTAAATGCTCTTTATTCAATATGTTTTCCAAAGTTTTTTGATGGATGAAAAAAAAGGTCGAAGAAGTGGAGGTGAATGTCTGTTTTCTTGCAATAGCAAGTACCCCGAAATATGCAGCAGCCACACCTCAAGAGATTGACGAATTATCCAAGGCAATACTCACAGACCGGGGTTACAAAGTCGCATTTTTGAGKACGAAAAGCCATATACTGAATTGAAAAACGTTTCTTTTATTATATTTTATCTCTAGAATCGATGCCAACGACATCGCTTCCATATCCTTGTCCATCAGAAACAGGGGAACCATGCCAACCAAGCCAACCAAGCCAACCAAGCCAACCAAGCCAACCAAGCCAACCTTGCCAACCT